GCCTGGGAGAGAACCTGGAATGTTCTGCAGGAGGCCTGGGAGAGCCTGGAACGTTCTGCAGGAAGCCTGGGAGAGCCTGGAACGTTCTGCAGGAGGCCTGGGAGAGCCTAGAACGTTCTGCAGGAGGCCTGGGAGAGAGCATGGAACGTTCTGCAGGAAGCCTGGGAGAGAACCTGGAATGTTCTTCAGGAGGCCTGGGGGAGCCTGGAACGTTCTGCAGGAAGCCTGGGAGAGCCTAGAACGTTCTGCAGGAGGCCTGGGAGAGAGCCTGGAATGTTCTGCAGGAGGCCTGGGAGAGAGCCTGGAACATTCTGCAGGAGGCCTGGGAGCGAGCCACTGGAGCCTGGCTGGCGCCTGGGTTCTGGCTCTTTGTGCTCTCCACGTTATGTCTGCTGGAGCAGGAATGTCCAAAGCAGCTTCATGCCACGTTTCTCTCATGTGTGGCCCCAGCTGAGGAAACTGTGGCACCCAGCCTGGCGGGAGCCTCTCCCTGCACAGGCTTCTGGACTTAATCGTCCCAGACCTCTCTGTTGCTAGCATCCCCAGAGCAAGCACTCCAAGAAATGTGGCAGAAGCTGTCTCAGAACGCCACTGGTTGGTCACATGACATTGTTCAAGAAAGTCACTAAGGCAGCCTGGATTCCAGGGGAGGGGATCAGACGCCTCCCTCAGCAAAGATGTAGCCAAGGCTATATTGCTGTGTCTCATCTACTGCGGGCTTAAGACCAGAAGGCCGTGTCAGAGCTCAAGGCACGGAGCATTCTCTCTGGTACTTCAAGTGGAAGAGTGTCCGTGGGCAGGAGAAGGATGGTTCCATGTTTTATAGAATTTCTTCTCATGATTTTCAGATTTTCCCCTGCCTGTGAGTCTCATGAAATGATTCACAGAATACTGAAAGATTGGGAGCTGTGGCATCTGTTGGCTTTGTGCCCAGGGTTTTGCCCTTTCTGCATGACACAAATCTGGGACAGTGTTGTCGACAGTAAGGCAGAATCACCCATGCTCTGTTTTCCAGGTTTGTCTAAAGTACTACGAGCACGAGTTTATGGAGCTGGCCTGCCAGTGCCCCGCCGTGGTGTGCTGCCGCTGCTCGCCCACCCAGAAGGCCTGCATCGTGACACTGTTACAGCAGCACACGGGGAGACGCACCTGCGCCATCGGTGAGCGCTGCCCGCTCACGGGAGGCCTCCAGAGAAGCCCGCGGCCTGTCACTGATGGGCACGCTTCGTTCCACCCCTGAAATTAGATTGAGTCCATCTCCATTAATGGAAGTTTCTGAAATAGCCTCTGATAGTAAAAACGAAAAACATGATGATGGATGGGGTTTTATTTTATCTCGCAACTTTTCTTGTTTCGCAGGTGATGGTGGAAATGATGTAAGCATGATTCAGGCGGCGGACTGTGGGATTGGGATTGAGGGAAAGGTAGGTTTGCCCTTCGTCTGTCAACATATCAGCACACATCAGTACGACTCAGCACATGCTGGGTTATTTTACACTCAGCACCTACTCAGTCAGCGCACACTGAGTCAGCGCCTACTCGGTCAGCACACGTCAGCACATGCCCAGCGCACAGTCAGCACACGTCAGCACGTGCTCAGCGCACACTCAGCACCTACTCGGTCAGCACACGTCAGCACATGCCCAGCGCACACTCAGCACCTACTCGGTCAGCGCACGTCAGCACATGCCC